TCAAAGCATTTTTTATGTAAAATAAAAAAAATAAAAAATTTCCGCAGACACTTTTTGTGTTTTTATGTTTAGAAAAAATGTCTAAAACACACCCCGAAGACTAGTTTTGATGTAACAGATTTCGGCTATACTAAAGTCCGAAAAATGAAAATGACGCATTTCCACAGGAAAATTTTTGTATATTTGTACTCCTGACGCCTTCTAGAACGCATATATAAAGTCATTTTTTATATAACAGATTTCAGCTAAACGAAAGTTGAGCCAAATTTACATTTTCACATTGTCAGTTCAACAATTTGCAACAATTTGCGAAGCTTCCATTGATGCGGGTGATAAGTCGCATCCCTTCAAAATATTGTAATAGGTTTTTATTTAAAAAAGTCACTGAGATCTCCTATAATAAATTAAAATTCTCAGTAAATTTGTTCAAGTAATTAAATTAAATTTCAATTATTTAATGTGGGTATTGGTCGAGCTTTATAGATAACACAAAGACCTATGCTAAACGCTAAAAAGTAAAAATCTCTCGAGAGCGCGATGATGCGACTGTCCTCGTTACATCTTGAACATCGCCGAACACGAGCCGGGGTCACAAAACTTTCCGGTCGCGATTCCCGTTCGCGGTTTTGGTCGGTGAGTGAGACGGTTTTTTTAAACACATCTCATTCGCGGTATAAAATAAAAAAATATCGTTGCGCGTCGCAATGAGCGATTCTGAGAACGGCTGTAAAAAAGAAATAATTTTGCAATCATCCTTTACTTCTGTGGTGTATTCAGAAAAATTAAAAACTATTGAAGAAGGACCTGCAAAGCATAATTTGAATATTAATACTAAATTAAAATCGTGTATTCGTCATTTTAGTGAAAATCTTTATAAAAGTGAACACTGGTTATGTGGTTGTAAGGCACTCAGTAAACTTTTTCGTTGGCCTTGTCTCCTATTACATTCTAAAGGGGCGTCCAGACCGGATAAGCGAGCAGGAGCGAGCAAGAATTCGGGTATGTTCTATGGGAACGCTTAACTGGTGTGGACGGCTCTGCGAGCGAGCGAATGATTGCTTGCTCGCGCTCGACACTGTTCCACGCCGTGTCGGTACATCAAAGAAAATTCGCGCTATTTCACGTTCGGTTTGGACGGGATTTTGTTTACCACGTTTGCGATCGAATATCAAAAATGGAATGGCCGAATGAAGTTGTTTTAGAACTAATATAGGAGTGCAAAAAATGGCCAAGACCCGTAAGGTTATAGCTAGCCTTTCTCTAGGTGAAATTGCTTTTCGGTAATTGGTATCACTTTTCATTATTTTTATGTCAATTAAATCTAATAAGGTATTAAAATCTGTAAGTGATATCCGACAAAAGTTCTTAAATTTTCCAGAATCTTCTGTTTCAACATCGTTTAGTAAATTGTTACCACCATGAGAAACTCGATTTTTAAAAAGAGTTATGTTCCACCATCTCCTCTGCAGTCGTTTTCTCTTTTGACGTTTCAACAATTTATAAAATACAATGAAAGACGCACAAGCAATGCTTTTTTCTGACATTATGAACATGAACTACCACACACCGATCAACGCCGAACATACAAATAATCGCTAGGTCTGGACGGAAGCTGATCATGTGCTCGAGAGCAGCAGAAATCATGAGCGAATATGAATAAATGTTTGCTCGCGCTCATTACTGCTCGCTCATCTGGTCTGGACGCCCCTTAAGATTTCATCTAACAGACACAGCTTAATTTTTTTTATCTAAATTTAGTTCTATTTTTAAATCGGTTTGATTAGTTTTTTACACCTGTTACATTTTATTTCTGTAACTTCAAAATTAAAACTTTAATAAAAAAACTTTATTGTGTTGGTAAAATGTTAATTGCAGTTACTTATTACATCCCCTTGTATTGAAGCCGCGCTGCTACGCCGCTGCAAAATTACAGTATAATTCTGCTCTATTGCACATTGTTATCAATAATATAAACTAGTTAAGGATTATCACACTTAATAGACTTAACTAAAATTTGTGTAAATACGTAAAATAAATTTGTTAATTTACCGTAACACCTATTAGGAGTCATGTTTCCCGTGAAACTTGACGCCTAATTGATAATTACGATTTTTTCGCCACAAACGGTATCATGAATATTGTCGTTATAAGTATAAATAGTTTGGTCAAATTTTCTGGTAAAAATTCCCTAGTAGGTAAGTTTTTAGGTAGCTTTAATTTATTTGAATCTATATGTTTTTTGGGGTGTTGAATTCGATTTTGACGTTTACCAATAAAATTTATGACTATGTCAAATTAAATTGCCTCAATTTGTACAATTTGCATTTACTGACATTTAGAAAAAATAAAACTTTAATGCTTATTACGAAGATAGCATACGATGAAAAAAACTGCATTCAGTTGGCTTTGAAATGACGATCAATGGGCCCCATTTAATTTTACATATAAAATGACAGCGATCTTCATTTCCAAGTCATCGCTGACGTTTTTTTTTGTCAATCATATGATATTCCTCTTAAATAAACAATAATTAGTATTTAAGAATTAAAAAATTATAATAAATAAATGAACATTTATGGTATATTAATAAGTTAAAAATCTTTTGTCATATTTTTATATGTTAAATCAACCACAGTAGCGGAAATGACAAAACTTTTAAAACTTTTATTTATTAGTGTTACTGATAAAAATGCATTTATGAAAAAAAATTCTGTTAATTTGAGATTAATAAATAAATTTTAAATATAATGTTAAACAATGCAATTCTAATATCATACTAAGTTAAGCCCAACTAATAATAATATTTATAATAAGAACTATCTCTAAAATATTTTTCGAAGTTGGCCATATTAAAAATAGTGAACTGTTCAAAACTTTATAAATAGTGATAAATTTGATGAATATATTTGAAATCCTTCCATAGATTTGTCGAATACTTAAACCCGAAGCTTACCAGCTAAAATCCTTGCAGTGCGAGCAGAACGTAAGCTGTTTAAAGAATCTCGGGATGAATCTGTGATCTCTGATGTTGTAGACGTTATTTTTTTCACAAACACTTCCTTTCATTCAATCTCTACACGAGATCCATGTTCAAGTCGTTCCTATATCATAATATATTTCACTATTTAATTTAATAACCTAATTTATTATACCACTGAGTATATTATTTAAAGTAGTTGTGAATTCTCTAATGGTACCAATATAGACTTTGATGGTACTATTATTGTAATAAGTTCTCGTCAAATAACCTAAGTGTATTTTGAAATGGAAGGGGAGTTGATGAAGGGAAGTTTGTTCATTTACAATATTGTCCTGAAATATCAATATAAATGATGAGGAATTGTACCTTATTCTTTTTAAATATCGATGTAGTTTTAGATCTTAATATTTTTAAGCATATTATATTTATTGGCATCTATTTAAAAAATGATTTGTTAAAAGTATATTTCATTTAAATAAAAATTCTTAGTCCACTCACTAAGGAAAACTCCTAAAATGTCTCTTAATCTACCTAAATATCAAATATTTCATTCATCATATCAATGAATTTCCTTTCAGAAAGTAGGTAGGTAGTAATTTTTAAGTGTTTTTAAAATATTTTACCGGCCTTAAATTTATAATACACTCTTATATGAATGAAGTTTACCTGTGTTACTGAATTATTTAAATAGCACTCTCAGTATAATACGTTGACGTTCAAGTTTTAATATATTAAGAATCATCTATGGAACAAATATATGTGTAAGAATGACTTGTAAAATGTTAATACCGGGTGCGTCTTAAAATATAACTCTACTAACTCTCACCCCAATAACTTTTTATTTTTTCAAATAAAAAATGAGATTTGGTATGTTACTATATAACATTAAGATTCATAGACGTATTCAATTGTTTCTGGTCACTTCCTGTTTTACCGGAATTGATTTTTAAATGGCACCCTCGGTATTTTTTTACTTTATTCGATAGAAAATGACAATCTGAATAGAATGACAAATCGCTTTAAAAAACATCGTATTTTAAATTTCAATCTATGACTGTCAAAAACACTCATTTTTAATCAAGAACTCATGGAAAATAGATTTAATATTTAATCGTTTAATGTTTTTAGTGTCTTGTCCTGGCCGGTTAAAAGATGCCCAAAAAATGCAGAGTCAAATGAGCTGAAGCAACTGATTTCACTGATATCTTTTTTATTTTAGCGGATAAAAGACGAGATTTGGTTCAAATTTGGATATGACATAAATTAGGATTGATTGACGTATTCAATTGTTTTCGGTCACTTCGACAGCCTCGGTATTTTTTTACTTTATTCGATAGAAACTGACACACTGAATAGAATGACATATCATATGTCAACTTTAGATATTTTCGCATATGGTTTATTTGAAATTGTAACATGCGGTTCATTTGACGACAATTTGACTCGAAATACCAAGTGTGTGGTACCAAATTATTCGTAAAAACATGCTTTTTCCAAATATGCTAATGAGCCACCCTCGTATCATTTGAAAAAATTGAGATATGATTAAAAATGCGATTTAGGCTTTGGGCGATTGGGATATATAGGGGTGAGCTACTTTTGAGATGCACCCGGTATATAAAATGATTACGAAAAGTTAATAAGTTGCTATACCAGTGAATTTTCCATCAGAAGGTACAAATACTTTTTTTTACCGTATTAAATTAATGTCTGTTGTGAATGGTACAATATGATCGGAAAAAAAATGGCATTAGCGATGGCTATGAAATAAAGATAGCTGTTATTTTATATGTAGAATTATATGGGGAATGTCATCCATAGTCATTCCCAAGCCAACTGGACGCCGTTTTCTTTTTGGTCATACGGTATTTTTGTCTTTGTTCCTGAGAGATTCGAAATATACTATACGAACTGTTTATTACATTTTTTTTGTTACCATTTTATAAATAATAGTGCATTAAATTTGATGAATACATTTGAAATCCTTTTCATAGTTTTATCGAATAAGCCTTTAGCTTACCAGATAAAATCCTTGCAGTGCGAGCAGAACGTGGGCTGTTTGAAGAATCTCGGGATGAATCTGTGATCTTTGATGTTGTAGACGTTCTTTTTCTTCAAGGCGCCCTTCCTCCCTTTCAGCCTCAGGCCGAATTTCGTGTTCAGGTCGTTCGACTCATCATTGTTTACGTCCTGGTCCTCGGCCATGGCCGCCGGCGGTATTCGCTGACGCTGTTTCGCGTTATTTTTGGCAGCGAAAGCGTGCGCGACAAGAACACGGACACGGCAGGCGATCGATCGGATCCGAAGCCGACAGCAGAACGCGGTCGGGCGGCCCGCAGGATTCCGCTAAAAATACTGCGGGGCCTGCGGCAGCACGGGCCCAGAGCAGGAGACGGCAACGGGGGAGCGAGGGGGAGGAAAGCGGGCTAGCGAGCAGGCGGACAGCCGCGCTGCTGGATGTCAATAATCAGGTATCGCCGCCGAACTTACTCACCCACCGGTGCAACAGATTGTTTGGGAAGCGACCTACGTCCTTGCTGGAGTAGCCACTATATAGGTCGGTAGTGTCTGCTAGTATTTCTTAGTTTTTATATATCGGGATTTGGTTTAAGTATTTAATACTTATTTCCTATTTCTGCCTTCCAGTTACCCTACGCCACACATCTCGTTTTAGAGCGTCATCAGCTTCTAGGTTACGCGTTTCCATTGCTTCCTTAACCGTTGCGTTCCAGGATTTTCTAGGTCTACCTCTCTTTCTTCTGCCCTGTGGATCCCATTGAAAAACTTTTTTTTGCCACCTGTTCTCCGGCATTCAGAACATGTCCAAACCACTTTAAGCTGGATTTTTCAAGAAGATTTGACAAGTTTGAGACAAGATTGGGACAACTTGGATTTTGCGCTTCGCGTCTGCACTCAGAGTCCATAGCAAAGAACTGACTCCACCAATGTTCGTCCAATAAGTCTCTTTTTAGTCGTTGCAGACAAGTTTCGGTCCCACCAGAGGCTATTTAGACATCCAATAACTTGTTTGCTCTTCTGAATTCGAGTTTGTATTTCTTCTTTGCCCAAACCCTCGTTGTTGATAGTATGCATCCAAGTATTTAAATTTGTCTACTTGTTGAATCTGGGGAATCATTAACGGCGAGCATCGCGGCGAGATGAAATGATCCACCATGTTTTTACCCTGTGTGGGTTTAGATGCATCCGTCTTGTATATCCTTTGCTATCCGGTCAAGAAACAATATGTGCCTTCTTGGACATTGGGGTGCCGTTTGGCAACATATCTCACAAGATGATCACACGATCCATAGAAACAAGAGGAGCAAAGAGAACTATAATTGACAATGGTTTTGGGAAATGCTTCAACACGGACAGCAGAGGTTCAGACGGGTACCAAATCTGTAGATGTTAAAACAAGCCAAGGAACTCCACAAGGTTGAGTAACCACCCCCCTAATGTGGAGCTTGGTAGTAGATAAACTTCTAGACAAATTAACTCTAGCGAGAATACACTGCATAGGGTATGCAGACGACATAGTCGTGATCGCTCAGCCCGTTTCAACTCAGACAAAACCGCAATAGTACCATTCACCAGAAAGCAATATCTAAAAATTTGAAAAAAATCCAACTAAATGGTAAAGAAATACTGCCATCACAGGAAGACAAATATCTGGGAATAACCCTGGACAGTATTTTTTCTTATAACTTCTATTCTATGGAACAGGCATATTACGAACATTACCAGAAAAGCCACAAAGGCGCTCATGATATGCAGAAGACTGGCAGGAACTAGACGGACATGGACTAACATTTTGCTCTGGATGTATACCATGATAGTAAGACCCATGATTACTTATGGAGCAGTTGCTTACTATACACAAAACTAGAGAAACTTACAGCAAGAAAAAATATGTGCCAAATGCAGAGAATGTCATATATCTGCATTACAGGAGCCAGAAGAACCTGCCCAATAGCAACAGTGGAGGTCATTCTATACCAAACACCACTGAACATTGTCATCGGTCAAATCATATACCAATGCGACAATGATTTTTGTATGAATTTCAACAAACTTTGATATACGATGATTGCAAGATACCATACGGTAGAAAAAAAACGACGGCAAAGACGGCCGGAGAATTACAATAAATGGTTATTTTGTAGTTGTAAATTATTTTTGTATTGAGTAGAAATTACTTTTAAATGTAGTAGTAAAATTGTGTGTAGTTTAAAATTCGAGAATTTTTTTATAGAAAGATTAATTCTATAATTAGTGTTAATTTTTGACAAGTTTTATGTCCATTTTTAGTAACTGACATCTAGAAATAGACCTCGCCAAAATTATCATCGATTATCACTCCCCAGCCGTCTTTGACGTTGTTTTTTTTTTCATAATATTATTTCTATCAAATCTGCAAACTATGTATTAATATCTATTCATACTAATCTAGTATCTACTATTATCCTTCTTCTGTTATTATTTTTAATTTTTGGATGAATTTCAAAAAGCTTTAATATGAGATGATTGAAAGATGTTTTATAATAAAAAAAATAAACTACTTAAATGTTTTCAGTTATCCATCCGGTAGTGAATATAAAAATCAATATTTTTCTCGTATATCTAAAAATACATAATTTGTATACACATACAAAACGTTTCTATTCTAAATTTAGCTGAATAATGTATTTAACTGGACTATAGATTCAGGAGGAAAATGAGATGGAAGCAGAATAGAAAATTTACATAGGAAAACGCGTGCGTACTGAGAGGGCATCCTACAATTTTCCACAACGAAAAAATAGCCAGCTGGGAGAGAATATTTGGCACTATTGGGAGAAAAATAACTAAAAACGATGTTTCCGTTTCTGGCTAAAAACTCAGATAGAAATACATATCTAATTTACCTCTATGTATACAGGGTGGCGCACCTCATTCGCCTCGGTTGATTATACGAAAACGGGAAGATGTAGAAACATATTTTCTTATGGGTATTTGTAGACAGACAATGTGCATAATTTACAATTATTTTCAAATGTACAGGGTGGGTCAGAACTAAGATCTATACCAAAGTTATATTTTTTCTTATGGAACACCCGGTACTTTATTTCATTTTTGGATTCTTGAGCATAAAATAAGGCATTTGTTATAAGGGTTTAATATGTTTAAATGCTTTGGTTTTTGAGATATTTAAAGATACTTAAATATGCATGCTATAAAGTAAAAATAAAGATTTCAGTTAACGTCTCCTTTTTGCTGCCAGGGCTAATCTGGACGGGGCCTACTTTGTTTACGCGGAATCCGAACCACGGTCCTTGGCCATATCATGGTCAGTGGCCTACCGACTTAGGAAGTGTCTAAATTAACTCTTACTCACGAGATATCCGATCTCATCCGGCCTCGAACCGGCGTGAATGAGTAGTGTGTATCAATAGATTTTACACTTTTCCCTCGGACAACAGCACGATACAATGTTTCGAACCGGTCACCCGTTCATCCACCAGTATCGCCTTAACTTCGGTGTTCTAATGGGAACCGGTGTTTCAACGTAGCTAAACCGTTGTCTCATAAAAATGCATGCTATAATAAAAAAGTTTGTCAACACCCTGTACATTACTTTAGTTAATTGTAGTGCTGACTTTAAAGCCAAGGAAATAAACTTGTAAATGTAAAAAAAATGTATTGGTTCCTTAAATGTATACAGGGGTATCAAAAATTGCTGGTCTATTTTAAATATTTATTTTACATAAAAACTTCGTTATTTCAAATACAACACCCTGTAGTTTTTTAAATAAATCGAAGCAGATTTAAATGTTCTTTCAAACTGTATTAGGGTTTCCTATACCTATTTGGCTCAGATTTTGAATAGAAAGCGATTTTTCAATAAAATTGTAATCAAGTGACTGGTGTCGCCGTGGCAATTTTCTAGTGACACTTACTAGCTATTTTCAAAATCGACATTAGTGTATTTAAATTTATAACAGTTCACTTTTATTTAATTTTTCTACAATAGTTTAATAAGTAAGTATTCATTATTTTATCAAGAAAAATAAGGAAGTAGTTCTTTTTGTTTTATATTACTATGACTTGTACAAATATTGGATTTTCTATAAAAGAAACAATTAAGGCAAATTCATTTTCTTCACTTCCAATGACAGGTTTCTGCCTAATAGGTCTTTCATATAGCACACTATCAGCTCTGCGAAATAGGAAAAGTTGTTTTCAAAGGTACGCTTGTCGAGAAAATTCCTATTTGGATATCTTTGAGCATAAACCCTTCAGGCTAAGCCCCCCCAAGCAATTGTCCACACAAAATAAAATCACTAGTAACACATCCCTTCCTTCGGCCAGCAGATACTGCTTCATTTTTCTTGATAAAATAATAAATACTTACTTATTAACCTTATTGTAGATAAATTAAATGAAAATAAACTGTTATAAATTTAAATAAAGTCCATAAACTAATGTCGATTTTGAAAATAGCTACTAAGTGTCAGTAGAAAAATTGCCATGGCGACACCAGCCATCTTGATTACAATTTTATTGAAAAATCGATTTTCATTCATTTCTTTGTGATGGACGTAATTGATCGCTATCGCGATCGTGGTCGCGATCGCATATATGTGTTCCAGCCTTAAAACAGCTCTACTTAGCTTAAGAGTCGTATTTTAATCTATATTTCAAATATTTTGAATAATTATTGTACCACACATAATAAGTTAGCTAAAATTCGTCCCTGTTTTTATTATAAAAGTTTAATCAAAAAGCCGTTGGCTTCCAGTTAAAGAGTATCAAAAAAAAAGCAAAAAATTCGGTTTAAAAAGTTTTTCAAAAATCACTCGGTATGGATATAATATAATGTTTCTGGTGTGTGCCACCATTGCCCGCATATTTTCTAATATACAAGTAAAAATCTCTAAGTACCCTGTATGTATAAAAAGTAATAAGTTTTGGTTAAAAATTTAAAAATAATTGAAAAAATGTACTAATTTAAAACACAATAGCCCATATATAATAATAATACACGTAAAAACCATAGTTCTTGTACAGCGCTGAAAGCAAAAAAAAAAGTTAAGCAGCGGTATAGCCACAAACCCTAATAACTCCAAGCGTAGGGTAATCAATGAGCTGACCTTCGACTTTATTTCAGACTATTTTAAGAAGCCCTTTTGTTGCATATAGCAAGAGCAATTTAACTTTTTCATTTTCTCTTGTCCTTTTTGCGGTCACATTTATATATTTTTTAGTATCTGAATAATAATAAAACGTAAGAAACCTAAGCGTTACATATACAATAAAATATGTATTAAGTTCAATATTTATTTTATTTTGTTAAATTATTT